TCTCAGTTTCCTAGAAGCCCATGTTAGTAATTTATACCTCATTTATATAGTAGTCATCAGCTTCAAATGTAAATGATCCTAAGATATAGTGATTTCCTTGACATTGTAAGATTCGGGGGGCACTAGGGAGTAAGGAAGGAAAGAAAGGAGTTCTTTAAACAAATAAATTGTTCCCTAATCGTGTGTGTGTCTTGTGTGTGCTCATAAAAAGGAAAAAGTGAGTCTCACATCTCCCCCATAATGTACTATCCCATACCTTGCCCTGTGTTAACCCATGTAAGGATTTAAAAGTGTGCTTTTCCTGAATTTTTCTCATACTTTCATCTGACCTAAAGCATACATCTGTGTACGTATGTATGCATGTATGTATATAGATATATATATTTATATCATAAATAAATATGTATTTTTCATAAAGATGGGATCTAGCTACATCCACTGGTTGATGTACTTTTACCATATTTTATTATGTGTATCTTGCCAAATCAATATTCTTCTTTGCTTTTTTCCTAATGGTTGTATAGTATACCCTTACCTAACATATTTATTTCATTAAATAAACATGACATATTTTAACCAAACCCGTAACTGAAGATTACATAGTTTCATATATTTTGCATTATGAACAAGACAGCAATTAACATCTTTAAATATAAAATTTTTACTTATCTGTGTTAAGATTTTTTGCAAAATATCTTCCTAGAAATAGTGATGCTAAGAACTGGGACTCGCCTGAAATTATTCCTATACCAAAAGAAATAATTTGTGGTTCAGAACGAAGCAGTCATTGGTGACAGAAACACAGAGAGGTGGAAAGACAAATGTTGGCGGGACCCAGCCAAGTAGTGTTGACAGAGGAGAAAGTCTGAATTTCTGGTGGTAGGCATACTGGCCTTACTGGTACCTCTCTGAGGGAGCCGTGCCTCCAGCACTTGAAATAATTAGGCAATGTTATCTAATTCCTATCACGTACTCAGATTCTATGCTCACTGCAATATTCACAATCCAATATGTCTTCCCTGTAGATCCAACCTGGGAAAAATTAAAGCATAAAAAAATAGATAGTAGAGTCTCTGTCAGTCTGTGGTCTGAAATTAATCAAGTCCTCTCCCGAGATGTGGAGCCTGTCAGCATGCTGATATAACTAGGTTTTAGACATACAGAATTATCACCTTGATAGACACCCTGTCATCATCTAATCCATATCTTGGATTACAGATCTTCAATTCCAAATATGCATATCCAGGGAGCCCCTAGCAGGCAAACCTGCCTTATTTAAAGTTTATCGTACCCATGCCCGGAGGACAAGCCATTGCCAAGTCAAGTTTATAACTGTCCTTCACATTTCTCCCCTCTGCTTCCCCTGCAGCTCTTCCTGCTTCCGGTCCTCGCCCACATCAGGACTGCCTAGCTGATCCCACTGTATCCAGTCTCATTCCTCTGCAAAGCCACGTCCTCTTATTTACAGATAAAGTACAATAGCCTAAGGACTAGCACTTAAGACTCAGTATCTATAACCATTGTAACTTTGCAATCCAGTCTCTCACTGCATCATTTTATCACCATCTCTAGGTCTCTGCTTATATTAGTCTCGCCTTGTGAGAGATCTTTCACTCACACTGCTCATTTGTTGATAAATCTAAAATATACTTATAAGATATAAGATAAAAAATGCTTCCATTAAGGCCAGGTGAAGGGGGCTCATGGATTCACCAGTCAGGAGGATGTGTCTGCCTGCCTCACTACACCTTCCCTATTTTTGAGTTGTGGTGTTCACCAAAGAACAGAGTTTTAAAACGTTATTTTCATAAATTTTTGTTATGTAGTCATACTTTCAAATACCACAATAGGTAAGAAGATTGGAAATGTATTACAAATATAAAACTGACATTGTATCTTGTGATAGTGGGTTGACCAAGATGAAAAACAAAATATGAAACTCACAGATTAAACCTGCACTTGCTGAGTTGACATAATTCTCTCTTGAGTTGACGTAATTGTCTCTCTGTCTCTGTCTCTCTCTGTCTCTCTCTGTCTCTCTCTGTCTCTCTCTCTCTCTCTCGCTCTCTCTCTCTCTTTCTGTGTGTGTGTGTGTGTGTGTGTGTGTGTGTGTGTGTGTGTGTCTCCCAGAGAATCAAACTCAGGACTTTGCACTTGCCAGGCAGGTATTTAAACCACTAAGCTGTATCTCCAGCCAAAACTGTCTTTTGGACTAAACAAAAGAGGACTGTTGAAGGAAAAAAACTTTCAAAAAGTTGACTAACATGGCATCTATTTTCTAAGATGCTACTTACAAGCAACAATGTATACAGTTATTTTGGAAAAATATCTGGTACATATTCCATTTACAATTCAAGATAAAATTAACTTGTTTTCTGGGGAAAAATATAAAAATAATTTTTGTTGTTAAATATTGTTCTAGTGTAAGGCAATCGAAAATTTGGGTACTTTTTTCAAAACGTTTCTTATTTTACTTTAATGCACAGATCACACAATGTTTTAAAAAATTTGAAACATAAATCTTTGTGTAAAAGTTATCTTGTATTGCTATTTACCTTACTGCTAAAGAACAAAGAAACAATTAATCATGAGCTCACCTTAAATGATGCATACATAGTTATTCTTGGATACCTGTCTATTAATCACTCTTCTCCCAAGAATGATTACAGAAAGATGCTCTATGCTTTGCTATTGCCCTGTCCCTAAAGTTGGGACCCTTAAATTTACTATACAAACCAAAATGGTAAAAAAAAATTCATGGAGGAATGGAAACCAAGTGTAAATATTACATAATAAGTATTATGTAATAATATTTGAGACAAAAATTAATAGGCAACATAATAGCAACTTGACTCATTTTAAGTTTTCATATCTAGAAATTTTAGCTTTGTATTTTATTTTTGATGAAATAAAAATTGAGCCAAGTCTAAAGGAAAGTGTTATTTCTCAGTTTTCCAAAGGTCCAATACATATTTGCAGTAATTTTTTAGTCTAAAAGAGTCTAACTCCTAAGATTCAATCCCTAATCTGAAGATGTTTCAGAAGAGATTTTTATCACAGAAAAGATCACGTAGAGAATTTCTTTTTTAAAAGAAAATCCCACTGCCTGCGGTCACTACTTAGTCTTAGGGAGCCAGCATTACATTTAATGGTGAAAATAACGACTTTCATCACAGGAGCACATTTAATCAAGTCCAAAAACACTAGACTGGTCTCTGTCCAATGAGAACTCCCACGGCAAGTTACTTACTTAGTCTTTTAAGGGTTCTGATGTTCTTACTCATTGTGGTTAACAACACTTGCCTCCCTGTCTCAACAAAGGGTTGAGTAGATTAAATAAGGTAATGTATATGAAAACCTTCTATTACTGTAACACATTATTGTCATTAACATGACATCACTTCTATTTTCAGCCTAAAAATATCTCCCATAGTCTAGGCTCAGCCAGACATGATACAGGTAAGGCAACTTTATGTTATAGATTTTTCTGGATAACCTAGATTTCAGCATTTTTATCCCATTGGCTACATAAAGATCTGCCTCAAATAGTGTTCTTACTTAGATTGGAGAACAAAGTCACTTAGTTTGTAATGAGATGTGTAAATGAACATAATTATAAGTATGCATGTAAATAATATTGTATAATAATCCTTTTCTTCTGAATGATAGGGAATTGCTCAAGAATGAAAAAATATTTTATTTAAAAAAAAACTGAACAAGTACAAAAAAAAAAAGAAGAAAAACTGGATATATCTCAGGAAAGGGAAAGTACAAAGAGCTATCAGATTTGTCTGTTTCCAAATCAGGTAAAACTTATCCTTCAAAATCAAGTACAACTCTGCCTCTATACTTTTGATTATGGCTCAGTGCACAAAAGACATTCCTCTTACGAGAGTTGGATATGAATTACGACTACTATGAAGAAAATGCCTTTCACAGAAGGTCACTGGCAGTTGTAAAAGCGGGATTAGAAAGGAGTTAATTTTAAGTACACAAATAAATGAAATCTATATACATGGGTATTAGGGATGTTATTTTTTGACATTTAAAAAGAATAGACTTTGACCTCACTTGGAATATGCGTGTGATCTGTCTCCTATTCCACCCATAGTATTACCAGCACATTATTGTTTCAATGCTAAAAGAAGAGAAATAGCATTCCATCACTGGATCAACATGTTACTTTAGAAGTCCCATTTTAACACAAAGAATGTGTTGACAATGGACGGGATACGTACTTTTTGAAAACCTCACACAGTTAAGCTGGTAAGTCACCCAGAAAGTCGACTCAGTTTAAATGTTTATGAAACATCTCAGGAGAAATGCAAAACACTTATTAAAACTCACCATTGAAAGTGAAATACTTTCAGCAGTAGCGAGTTGGAAAAATAAAGGTAAAACTTGGGAGTATTTTCCTCTGCTTAAGGAGCCCACCTTGTTTGTATTTTAACTGAAGTCAGAGGTTGTATGTTGATTCCAGGTTAATTCTAATTCATTGAGCAGGTTTCTGTGACATCCTCAAAGAGATGAAAAGTTCTGGTGAAAAATGCGATGGCCCAGCTCACAACTGTAATATCTAATTCAAGCAACCTCCTGGGAATTCCAGTGATTTTTCTTGCTAATTTCAGTCCAATTAAACTGCTGGATCTCAATTCATGTTCCTCCTCTGTATCCATAGGTCTGCTGCCACTACTGTAACTAGGCGCACCAATCATGAGGAGATTCTTTGTACTTTTTGTTTGAATCTAATGAGCTGAGTTTGAAACACCTAGCAAATAATCGCTTCCCAAGGGTTGATGAGGAGAGGGAGGACCAGCCATGTTGGAATGACTACATTCTTTAGGACCATGTGTAAGATTAGGGATTGACCATATTTTTCCATAAAGCTCCAGATAGTAAATATTTAGGTTCTGCAGGTCATTAAGTCTATCACAAATTCTCTACTTTAGCATTATGTCATGAAATTAGTTATAGACAATACAGAAACAATTAAGTGTGACTGTGTTTCAACAAAACTTTTTTTATGGGCACACATTTGAATTTCACATAATTTTCATATATTATACAGTATTTTTTTTCTTTTTTGCCAGCCATTTAAAAAAATATAAAAACTGTTCTTAACCAAAGACCATGTGAAAACAGACAGCAAGGCTCATTTGACCCAGAGGTCAAAGTTTGTGGACCTCTAACTTAGAATCTCAGAAGAGAAGACAGCACTGGTGATACTTCATGAGTCACACAGAGGACATTAACTAGGAGTACAGAAAAATACAACCAAAATAATGATTAGGCCTGCCCACTGAATATTTTCTTTCTGCCCAATTCATAGTACTATTGTTTCTTACATTCTTTTTGTCAGCGTGACTATGTGACTTGCTTTCCAATGAGATGTGAAAAGCAGCATGTGTCCCTTCCAAGGGAAAAATAACAGAGTAAACCACATGATTTATGAAGGGCAGAGAAATTATGAATGGGCATAGTACCCACACTAACCCTGGATACATGTTGTCTTGAGTGAAAAACAAAATCCTGTTGCATCCATCCAGTAAGATTTAGTGATGTTTTATTTACAGTTCAGCTCAAGATGGACAAAATGCAATTAGTCTGTACTAAATTCAATTGGCGTATTCCATTCTACGATCAGAGAGAACTGCGGTTCCTTAAAATGAAATATTCCATTCACACTTCAACAGAAGATAGACACTTTGTCAACTGGAAATAGGTAAACAATACATCATGAATCTGCTGTCTTTAAGTCTGTGATCTGTAAAGAAAAGTTTTTAAAATAGAAATTTTTAATACTACCATTTAATGCAGATGAAAGTATTTTAAGACAGATAACCTCATATTGAGCTGGTGGGAAATTAAACTGCTACAGTCTTTCTTGTCAATAATTTTCACAATTTTTTAAGCTCTTTGACTACAAACTATGTCTAGGAATCTAACTTGAAAAAATAATAAAGAACTCAGGCAAATATTTTTTAAAAATGATACTTATTCTTGTTAAAATAGTAACAAAAAACTGGAAATCTATGTAACTTTATAAGAAACACTAAAATATATTTTCATATAATATTTTCATATAATAAAAATTATACAAGTATTTAAAATCAAACTTTACAAAGAAATGTAATGGCGGAAAACAAGATTATGTAGTCTAAACAGTGTAATTTCATGATGTACACATGCTGTATATATAATACATATAGAAAGACAAAGCGGACTGAATTGAAGTATGCCAAAACATCACAAGATTATAAGTGATTATAATTTTGTTTATCGAAATTTTATGTTTTTCAAATTTTCTACCAGGAACTCTTATAATCAAAAAAGCTACAAAAGATGTTCTTAAGTAGTCCTCAACAAGCCTGCTCTAGATTCTCCTATTCTAGTTTATTTACTCTTTCCACAAGCTGTAAAATCTCCAAGAATCCTCTTTATTGAAGTAACCTCTAGCACCACTTTCTAACATTTTACTTAGACCCCATGTTAGGTTGTCAGCATAAAGTTCTTACTGAATGGAAGGTCTTTTGGGGCTTCTTTCCAGGTTCTTAGTGTTCTGAACAACAACAACAGAAAAAAAAAGAAAGAAAAAACGGGCAATGCAACACAGAAAAGGCCATGAAGGCATAAACATACTGATGATGAAAAAGAGGTAGAGTTTACGGGCTGAGAGTGGGCCAGTGAGCAGACTTACAGTGGCCCTGAGAATAAAGAAAAGGAGGCTTTTTAAAATCTAGCATTCCTGGTTTGGTTTCCCGTTCACGTAAAGGAGGCATTGGAACACTTGCCCTATCAAGAACTCGCTTGCCATCCTGCCAGATTTTTAGTGTTCTGTTGAAAGACTGGCATGGCTTCCTGCCAGATATACATGGATTAAAAATAGCAATTTCTGATTGTCCCTGCAAACAGCATCAGATTCAAATGAAGTATTGAAAATAGCACTTTCTGATTTGTTACTTGTACAGCGTTCAGGAGGCCTGGAGTGATTTGGGGTCCTGTGTTCTATTCATGTTCTCTGGATTTTTATGAGCTTTGACACATTCCACCTAGTTCCTTGTTTGATTTACCCCAGCCTTCAATTCCTACCTCTCCCCCTAATGGCTCTGGAGGTCTGCATACATGGGAAAGAATGGGTTTCGCTTTCTTCCCAGGGCTGCAATCTATTAATTCAAAACTTATTACTATTTACATTGATTTATGACCTGAATTCTAGTGACTGACTTGCTTCAGGGGACTTTCAGTCCTACCTGTGCAATCTTAACATCCCCCCCCAACCCATCACAACACATACTAGTGGCGAAACAAGAAGATTCATATTCCCTCAGTCTGATCGCTGATTTCACCAGCAGCTGTCCGTTTTATTCCAGCATCCTGACTCTTCCCTTTATGGAGCACTCTCTGTGAGGGCTTCCTCAGGGGTACTTGCTGGATCCTCTGCACCTTTCTAGCCAGACAAAACAGGAGAGAAAAAAGTCAGATATCACTCTACCCTCCCTCTATCTGCCACAGTCATTTTAACCCCCAGGCCTTAAGGAAATATAGTCTTTCTGTATCCTCAGAAAGGGGAAGAGGGGTTAGGGAACATCCACAACATACCCACTACAGGTAGCCAAAAGTAGCTCTGAGCTCAATCCTACATATTCTAATTTATCTTACCCCTTTATTAAAAGAATTTCCCCACTCATTCTGTCAGATGGCCAAAACCGGTTTTGAATCTCATTGCTAAGAAGCTTTTCTAAATGCTTCAGTCAAAATAAACTTGTTTCTTCCTCCGTGATCCTTCTCAGTCTGACTTACATCCGAGGAAATCCTGCATGTTCTTCCTTCATCAGAGAAAAAGGATAAACCACGTTCTCCCGTTGTGTACAGCATGGTGCCTTCCTGGACAGCCCTCAGAAAATGTGAACTCCCTTCCAGTGCTTTGACTCAAATTTGCAGAGTCCAGTGGAACAAAAATACATCAGACTCATGTTTCACATAAATGGTGCTGATTTTTAGCTCAATCTTTTAACAGATATTATCTGAAGAACATTTATAAGAAAGTTCAGAAGAACCATCCAAAAAGCACACGAGCTTTAAAACCTCTTTGGGGACTGATTTAAAGAACCAAAGGCTCTAGCATAAGATTTCTTATTCCTCTGATAATCCTGTCGTATTTTGCAGATTTTAAAACTCTCTGTGGAGTTTTCCTTTTCCTGGAAAACCCATATTCTTCAGTAAATCAACTTTTCAGCCCACTGGGTATAAAAACAGAATGTGCTTTAGCTTTACTGAGTTTGCAGGCAAATGGAAAGAAAAGTAAAGAAATAAAGTACAAGTGAGAGGTGCGAACTTTCCCCATCCATCTTAATGGAGTGCTAACCTTCCTGCCTCCAGGTGACCCTTTGAATTCTAGAACTATTAAACAATGAGCTGAAATCCAAACACTCAGTCTGGTAGTGAAATCTCCTTGAGAAAGGACAGCTGTGGCCAGTTTTGATCATGATTCAGGCTTAAGAAAGCAAACAAACCCACTGAGCTGATTTGGGCTGTCCTCTGTCAGTTTTAAGTTCTAGCATCTGCCCCCTTTCCTCTGCCTGGCATGTATCACCCTATTTATAGCTGGATGGGTGTGGAATGTGGTCTTTTTAGGAATGATGCCTAAAGCAAGGTCCAGTACACCAAAGACTTTTTTTGGTCAACATGCCTCAAATCTCTTCAAGTCTTAGTGACTTGGTTTTTACCGCTTGGAATGATCTATCTGATGCTTATGCTGAGGAGCATATGGAGGAAAGAGGCAGAGAGCCACAGAGCTTAACAAGAACTACAACGCCCCCCACACTGACCCAAAAAATACAAATCCTAGGACTAATTCCAATGCATTGTTCTTTATAGTCTCATTTTAAAAATATAAAGATTGGAAACGAACACCAAGTCCCTGCTGATTCCATTGCCTGGCAATTGTGTGAAAGTTCAAGAGAAGAAAGGACATGCTGTGAAGTCCTGTAAGAGATGGACTCTGCTTTCAGGTCTAGCGTCTTACCACCTGTTCTGCCTACGACAAATTCTCAAATTCCTCTTAAAATATAAATAACACTATTGTCTCATAATTATACTGCTTTGTGAGCCAAAGAACATCTTTATCAGTATACTAAGCAGTCAAAATAGTAATTATTATTTCATGATTAGGAGGAGCTTGGGAGCAGTTTCAGAGGACCTTCCTCCACCTGATTCGCTTTCCATTTCTCCCACATCTCAGCTCTCTTTGGCTAATTGCTGTAACCCAAGAAATAAACAAAAATTCCCACCAAAAATCCAGAGAAAAAATATTGAGCAGTAAAACACTAAAATATTAGCATCATTGTTTTGGAGCGTGGGGACTTGGGTAATTTTTATTTGTTTCTTTTTGTTGTAATTTCTAAATTTTTCACACAGGCATATATTACTGCTAAATATTTTGATAAATATTTTTTACTGAAAAAGGGCAAATACTCAACAAATACTACATAATCTGAGGGTGTGTTACTGAGCACCTCTTTGCAAGTTGCTATACATAAATCATACATCCATCAACCCCAGATTTCATGGAACAGTTCTAAATATGAATATTGTATTCCATTCTTTTAATTTAGTTTGGTGCATATGGTCACTCTATACTATTTTATCAGTTATTTGATTTTGAGTGGTATATTTGGATACTTTATAAGGAGATACAACAACAAATTACTAAAAACTCACATGATCCCACCTATCTGGTAGCTGATATCAAAATTGTTGTATATTATATAAATATAATAGGCAGCTAAGTTAAGAAGAAATATTATAGGATCCCTCAAGGGAGTCAGTTCAGAGGAAGAGAATATTATAATTGTGCTTGGAGGTGCATCTGTTGAAGGTCAGGCCATAGACATGGAAGGATCAGGCCTACATGCCTCCCCAAGGGATAAGCAACATACTACAGTTGGTATCACCTGGTCTAATAAAGTCTAGCTAGATATTACTCACCAAAAAGGTCCTTGTTATGTCCATGCACACCTGCTATGTGACTTGCATTCCCTTTAGATCAACATTAGCTAAGCAGCTATACTTGTAATCTTGTTGGTTGATCATAGTTTTGTCCCACGTTTTACCCACCCTGTGTTTTTGCTCTATAAAATTTCCTTTGAGAAGTGGGCTCACTGACAACCCATTTTGGGGTCTTCCTGCCTCTGAGGAACTATTTCTCTCTATAAACATTTCCTACTCTTAACTTCTGCTGTTGCTTAAAATCCATTCTTCGATCTTGGGGGACATGAACTTGGCATATCTGACATCTAACAGGTTGAGAGTTATAATATTTCCCTTATATCATTTGGAGGTGTTGTGTCATTAGGATAATAACAAAATCAAGCTTTATGGTGCCTGTGCAGAGGACAAAGCACATATTGTAAGGGATAATGGGAAAGTCACTGTACTGGCAGGATTCCGTGCTGAGACAGAGACCTCCTCTAGATCCAGTGGAGGATTTAATTTTCATTGGTGGGAGAAATGACTAAGGAGAGAATCTGGGGGAAGGTTGAAATGCAAAATAGAAATGATTAAATGTTTTTCATTATGGATAAAATGCAGTGGTGAAAGTAGATTAAAAACAGGATTCTAGATTACAATAATTACAGAGAACTTTGTAGATTTTAGAATTACAAAAAGGAGCATTATGATTCTACAGGTATCATTAGGTGACAGAATTACCTATATTGTGACTATGCAACTGTTAGTTTTTTGGCCAATTCAGTGTTTTTAACATAAAAGGTTTGATAACCTGTTTGATTAGGTGCCACATGAAATAGAATGTCTAAAAGTGACTAGAGAGAAGCAAAAAAATTGACTCAGCATCACCAAGAATCTAGACTTTTCTGCCGTCTCTTTCTGAGCCACCATTCTCTGCATGCCATGGCTTCCTGTGCGGCAGATAGATGGTGATGAGTATTCCAGATACCACATTCCAAATGGTAGGGAAGAGTGGTGATGAGAGGTGGGCGAAGTAGGCCAGGATAGTGTGGAAATTCTTCCCAGGGCTCTGTCTTTATCAGGGAGATATTTTCTAGAGACTCTCCCAAAAATCTCCTCCTCACATATCAATAGCCACAATTGGGTCAAATAGTCACCCCCATCAAAAGTCAGCGGAAAAGCAAACATCTGCACTTTTAGTTTCCAGCATAGACCATGGTCTATGCCCACTTTGAAAAGAAATTTTTAAAAAAGTGATGTAATAGTTGCATAAAAAATCAGCAGTGGAAATTACATCTGATATTTTCAAAAATATATTAAAATACCCTCCTGTTAATTTACTTCTAAATTCTTTATTCCTACAGAAAATTTGCTATTTCACCAAGTAGAACTCAGATGGGTTATTTTAGCAGATATTGCTTAAAATGAAAGTACCTGTACTGAACATATCACCCCTTTAACAGCCCTCCAAACTCACTGAGCAAGTGCTCCTGAGAGAAGCCTACAATTTCATTTCCTCTTTTTATTCTTCCCACAGTATTTGTTCCCTGGCCAAATTTTCAGAATAGGATCATCTTACAATACAGAAGATAGAATGTACTTTGGCATTTTAGATTCTTGTGGGTTTTCTCTTTTTGTTTCAAATGCAACAGCAAAAACAGAACAGAAGCCAAGAATGTGTAACTTCTGTGAATGCTTACATTTTTTCTGCAAAGTTTCAAAGAAATATTTAATAAACACATTTAAAATTAAACTCTGTGTGTTGTTATGTATGGAAAAATTGGACAAAACAGAAATTATATAAACACACAAGTCATAATTGAAGTAGTTTCTACTAATTCATTCAGATGCCATCAGTTTTGGTTTTAAAAACCCCAAGATACATGTACATTCATCACAGTTTAAATTTTAAACTAATACATGCCATTTCTGAGTAGTATTTGGAATAAAAAGCTAGCCATTCATGGTGACATAAGAATAATTAAAAAGTGAAACTAAAAATAGATAACAGATGCATATCTGTTTGGTTTGCTTTTCAATAAATACTAAAGGCCACACAAAATATGGACAGGAATTAAAAATTGTCATGAATTATAATTATTTTGTAATTAGAACACTTCACCTTTATAAGAGTTTATTACCTGTGCAGTACATCCATCTGCACAAATTTTCTTGCTTTTCCTCTGACAGTTGGTGAAATATTCCTGGATGACATAATCTCCTTCTTCTTTTAGTCCTGAGATTTTATAAAATACAAGCACTCTTTCCACAGTATTATGTTGAGAAATGTAATTAACAGAAAATATTATATGATATTTATGTCAAACTTTACTTGAGCAAAGAGCATCTAGACCCTGGGTAACCTAATTAGGTAAAGCAAATTTATCTCGTAAGTCTTCACACCATGTTCTTTTCAAGAGCAAACATTCAAGGCTGGAAGCATTCCATTCTGTGTTTCACATCACAGCTTCCTGCCTA